GCCCCCTGCCACCATCTTTTTAAATTACAATGAAGGGACCAAAATAAAAATTAAGTTTACCAAAAGCATTTAGAGATCCTCCAATACTCACTCCTTATTCTCTCGAATAATTCTGGAAGGCAGTTGGAGACCTGGGTCGTAGCTCTTTGTGGAGGACTGGGCCACAGTGGTGACAAGATGGCATGGGTCCATACCCATGGGAGAAGCGTAGTTCCCCGGGCGCATGATGGTGTGTGGGCAGTGACGCCATGCATCATGGGCTAATCACGTGCGAAACTCCACTTGTGAGTCACTTGTGCGTCCCTGGGTTCCTCCAGCACACCCACAGGAGGAAGGGACCAGGGTGCTGTCTGTCTGTGATCATGTGTATCTTGGAGAAAAAGAAGAAAATCCAAATCCAAAGTCATGAAGTCCATTTCAACTCAGGGAGACCTGGTAGGACAGAGTAGAACTGCCCCACACGATTCCTAAGGTTGTCACTCTCTGGAAGCTGACAGCCACATCTTTCTCCCGCAGTGCAGCTCCTGGGTTTGTAAAAGCTGACCTTTTCGGTTCACAGTCCAGTGCCTAACCCACAGTGCCACTAGGGCTCCTAAATGAAGAGCAATGTGATAAATTGTCTGAATGATCTGCTCCCTTAAAGATGAAACCAAAAAACCCAAACCTGCTGCCAGAGTCCATTCCTACTCAGCGACCCTGACAGAGAAGAGCTGCCCCACAGCGTCTCCAAGGCTGTAAGTCTTAGTGGACGTGGATTGTGAGATTCTTCTCCCACATGGCAAGCAGCTGGTGGGATCAAACCGCCTTACAGTTAGCAGCCTAGCACTTAATTCACTGTGCCACCAGGGCTCCTTAATAGAAGAGTAACTGCTGACCCGCACCTAGTATTTACTATGCAGCCGGTACTCTTCTAAGTACTTGGCACATGTGAATGAATCCTCACACCACCATCATGTTCAGACCGGGGAGCTGAGGTAGCAACCCTAGGACTCAAGCCTACACTCTGAGGCCCCAGTCTGCCTTTGACCCCACTACCCCCTGAACATGGAAGCTGGGGTCTGTCCTCATCACTCTTCACAGGGGACTTAGAGACGGCAGTTCTGTCTTCTCTACATTTGTTTTCAGTGTCTATGTTGTTGTTGTTAAGAGCTGTCGAGTCGGTTGCAACTCATAGTGACTATGTCGGGTTTCCAAGGAGTGGCTGATGGGTTTGAACCACCAGTCTTGTGGTTTGCAGTCCAGTGCTTATGCTGGAATGCTACACCAGGACTCCTTGGGACTTTTCATCCCGCTTCAGTGTGCTGAAAGTCGCTCTGTGTGTCTTCTCTCTCTGCACAGGTCATCACATGGAAGTAGCAGGTACCGGAAGAACAGCCCAGTCACCAAGTGAAAGGTAAACGACACTTCCAACGTCATTTTAAAGCATAAAATCCACAGCTAACTGCAGAGTCCATTTTTCAGACCATGGGAATGCAGCCTAGGGCCTTATATCACCTAAAAAGTGAATTTAAAAAGTTCATAGAAAATTTGAATAAAAAGATGATAGAAAATAAATAGATAAAATATACTAAAAGGGAGGTGGGTGGCTATAAAGGCACAAAGTGACTGGCTTACAAGTTTTCAAGAGGGAGTTTAGTTTCAGAGTGTGTGGGGGAATTGTTTTCATCTTGTCTAGACAGGTCTGGTGAAAAGCGATGGGGATAAGTTCTTAAGATTCAATAGTGAGTAACTGTTATCATGACTAGTTGTAATTGTCACACCTGTAAAGGTAGAAGGAATCAGACTTCCTGGGGAGGATCCAGGCCTTGAATGCAGTGGGTCTGGTATCTTTGAACGAATGCATTGTGTCTCTCCCAGTCAGCCTGTCCTGAGCAGGGTTCCTTTCTCATTTCAGTTGCGACCCCAACAGAGTGAAAGCGGAGCCCATGGATGATTCTGGTACGTGCTGAATCTTTAACCATGTATTTAGTAGGTTATCATATAACTCTTGTTCTAAAACGCTGGGGGCTGGAATACTACTTTACCCCAACAGGGGCCTTACATGAAGAAAATCGTATTATACTTAAATAGCTAAAAAAGAGATTCTTTTGTTTCAGGAAATAACTGGTTATCAAAGACAGATATTACTGGAGTCTCTGGCTGGTGTAAATGGTTAAGTTCAGGTTGTCTGTTAACAGAAAGTTGGGAGGTTCGAGTCTACCAGAGGTAACATGAGAGAAAAGCATGGTGATTGCTTCCAAAAAGATCAGCCACTGAAACCCCACGGAGCACAGTTTTCTGCTGACACACACGGGGTTGTCTTCAGTCAGAGTCAAGTCAGTAGAAACGGGTTATTGTTAATTAAGGTGTTATTAAACCCCAGACCCACTGCCGTGGAATCAATTCTGATTCATAGAGACACTGCTGAACAGAGTGTCCTGGTGTGGCGCTGTGGGTTAATGCACTGGACTGCAAAGTTGGTTTGATCTGTAAGATCAGCGGTTCAAGCTCACCAGCCACTTCTTGGAAACCCTATACAGGGTCGCTATGGGTCGGAACCAACTCGACGGCACTGAACAACAACAACATAGAACAGAGAAGAACTCCCCCCTAGAGTTTACAAGACTGAATCTTTAGGGGAGCAGACAGCCTGGCCTTGCTCCCTCAGAGCAGCTGGTAGGTTACACTGCCGACTTTGTGATGACCAGTCCAGCACTTAATCCACTGCACCACCAGGGCCACTAAGATGTTACTAGGTAGATATATTTGCAAAAGAAATATTATTTTGATCCCATTTTTATTAGAACTCAAGTGTGAAATGAGCAAAATGTCTTAAATACTAATTTGGAATTATTACTTGGTTTACAAGGGTAGCACTTTTAGATGTCTTATTTTACTGCTTTCTTGCTATGTTCTATGATTTCTAAATGTTCTGTAATATCCATACATTATGCTGAAAATGTAGTATGGGAAAACTTTTTAGTGGATGAGATTGATTAGCCCCATTCCACACACACACAAAGAAACAGCATCAACTCGAGGGAAAATATTAAAAGGTTAAGAATAGGAAAAAGAAGTGTTTAAGAGAAAAACAAGGGAGTGAAGGATAAGAAAATATTAAAAATGGAAAAGTTAGAAAATTTTAAATAAATAAGTACACAAAACTAAAACTCAGGTAAAAATGAACACAAACTGGCTGTTGTTCGGTGCTTTTGAGTCGGTACCGACTCATAGTGACCCTGTGCACAACAGAATGAAACACTGCCCAATCCTGGGTCAACCTCACAATTGTTGCCACGCTTGAGCCCATTGCTGCTGCCACTGTGCCAATCCATCTCACTGAGGGTCTTCTTCTTTTTCTCTGACCCTCCACTTGACCAAACTGGCTCTTAGAAGGTAAGATTGCAATTTAATCATATTTACAAAACAGTCACCAGCTGCTGGCAAGTCACTTCCTACTAAGCAACCCGATGTGTGTGTCAAAGCAGGACAGCACTCCATAGGGTTTTCCAGGATTGTTTATTAGAAGTAGATTGCCAGACCTTTCTTCTGAGGTCCCTTTGGATGTACTCGGATCTCCAGCATTTCATTTAATAGCTGAGGACTTTAACCATTTGCACCACCCAAGAACTCCAAAGCAACCTATAAACACAGAACAAACAGTTCAAATTGTGTTGTTGTTGGGCACCGTCATGTCAGTTTAAGCTCATAGCAGTCCTGTCCACAACAGAACAAAACACTGCCTGGTCCTGCACCCTCCTCATAATCGTTCTGTTTGAGTCCATTGTTGCAGCCACTGTGTGAGTCCATCTCCTTGAAGGTCCTCTCTTTCACTGACCGTCTACTTTACCAAGCATGATGTCCTACTTCAGGGCCTGGTTCCTTCTGATACCCTGTCCAAAGTATGAGCGACGAAGGCTCACCATATTTGCTTCTCAGGAGCATTCTGGCTGTGCTTCTAAGACAGACTTGTTCATTCTTCTGACAGTCATTCAGTATACTTCTCCCACAAAGGCCTTTATAAAGCCCCCATTTTAGGTAGCCAATGTCTAAGTTGCCCATCTCTATCAACCCTGTGTACAGAGGGAATAGGATTGATCTTTGACTTCCATCTTCTTTTGATGCTCCTGAATCATTCCATATTTTGCCCATGTTGTTGTTGTTAGGTGTCATCGAGTTGATACTGACTCATAGCGACCTTTTATGCACAGCAGAACAAAACACTGCCTGGTCCTGGACCAACCTCACTATTGTTGCCACACTTGAGCCCATTGATGCTGCCACTTTGCCAGTCCATCTCTCTGGGGGTCTTCCTCTTTATCTCTGACCCTCCACCTTATCAAACATGATATCCTTCTCCAGTGACTGGTCCCTCCTGACATGACAATATGTCTGAAGTATGAGAGACGAAGTTGGCCATCCTGGCCTCCAAGGAGCACTCTGGCTGTACTTTTTCCAACTGTTGGTTCTTTTGGCAGTCCATGGTACTGTCAATATTCTCCTCCAACACCATAACTCAAAAACATCAATTCTTCTACAGTCTTCCTTATTCACTGTCCAGCTTTCACATGCATATGAGGTTCTTGAAAACACTAAGGGTCAGGCACACCTTAGTCCTTAAGCTGACATCTTTGCTCTTCAACACTTTAAAAGGTCTTATGCAGCAGATTTGCCTAATTCAATACGACGTTTGATTTCTTGTCTCCTGCTTTCATGAGTGTTGATAGTTGATCAAGAAGAATGACGTTCTTGACAACTTCAATCTTTTCTCCATTGATAAGAATGTTGTTTATTGGTCCAGTGGTGACGATTTTTGTTTTCTTGACATTGAGATGGAATCCATACTGAAGGCTGTACTCTTCGATCTTCATCAGTAAATATTTTAAGTCCTCTTCACTTTCAGCAAGCAAAGTTGTATCATCTGCATATCGCAGGTTGTTAATTTTGCCCATGGAATCCTTCAATATTACAACTCAAGGCTTAAATTTTTTCTTCAGTTCTGACAGCTTGAGAACCGCTAATTGTACCTTTCCTTTTGTTTTTCTAACCTAATTTACAATGAACTCCTTGATAATCTGAAAGAGCAATAACAGTCAATATTAACAGAAAAAGAACTGGAGAAGAGAAAATAGAAACTGGGGTGAGAGTGAAATGGAGCTCAGGCCCCCAGCTCCCGTAAGCAGCCAAGGCAGGATTTCTGCTCAGTGCCTTCCCCAGTTCCCTCGACCTCTCGAATCTCTGGCCTGGAGGTCTTGAGTGTGGAGTGGACAAGTCTCTTCAGTGGACCACTCAGTACCCTATCCAGTCCAGAATATGGTGGCTGTTTAAAGTTGATCTCTTTCCCACAAAGGAGTTTGACACGTCTCCTTAATTAACCTCCCGGAACCTCTCCCTTCTACACAACAGTGAGACCCCGTTGTCCCTCATTTCTGCACACTAGCATATGCTTGGTAGGAATGCCATCTCAAATGAGAGTCTGGGGAAAATGTCCCCTGTCCATGTTCGTAAAAACATCACAACATAATGAAAAGAAACAAGCCAAGAATTTCAACTCTGCAGAATTCAGCTGTAATCTCATCTGCAAGAATGTCTTAAACTCTTACCTGTTTAATTTTAGCCCTGAATGCTCTTCAGAACTCAAATATGTGCTGCTTATGTCTTGGGTAGTCACAAGAGACTTTAAAACCCCAAGCTGCAGGCTCTTCTGAGTAACTGGGGAGGCGTGAATTCCCCAGCCCCTGAGTTCCTGCCTCTCACCAGCTCTGGAGGTGGGATGCACTTCTCATTCCTCCTTAAGATAGGCTGTCTATGGACATGGGCTTCAGTTTGGGCAAAAATATTTAACTTTCCACCGTGGTTTTCATGATGCAGTATGAATACCTTCCAGCACAGACTCCTGAGAATTTAGTGCCCGATGGTCTTATCTCTTGGGAATAGCCACTAAATATTTAGATGGCTTTGAATTTTTTTCTTTCTTCCTCTCTCTTTTGAGAAAAAGCTGAAGTAAATCTGCTTTCATTAGCATTTCAAATTCAACAATCTACACTCTCAAATCTGGTCTCAATTTTCTGGAGTTTGAGGAGTTTTTCTTTCAAAGCACAGCCGGAAAAGCATGTTTATCAAATGTTTCTGTTGGTTGAGTTTTGCATGTCTAGTCAAGTGGCTGGAGCCCTGGGGTGGTACTGTAGGATAACAAGTGGGACAGTGGTTCAAACCCACCAGCCACTCCTCAGAAACCCCATACAGGGTCACTATGAATCTAACTGACTCGACGGCACTTAACAACAGCAATCAAGTGGTAACTTGGATTTTTAACTAAGAATGTGTTATGAAATATTATAAAAGGTATACATACTGGGAATTCAAAGTTCAGACTAGACATACTTGTGTTGTTAAGTGCAACCCTTTATAGGGTTACCGAGGAGCGGCTGGTGGGCTTGAAGTGCCAAATTTGTGGTTCTCAGTCCAGTGCTGATCTTACAGTCCACACTAGGAGTTCAAGAACAAGCTGTACTTGTAGTGATAAGTTAAATTCTTCTTTGCTTTTTCACTCTCCTCTCTCAAACCTCATGCTCCTAAATCTCCCTGCACACCTCAAATCTCTCTGTACTTTAGAAGTAACAATGCATGCTCATTGAAAATTCAGATTATTTGCAAATAAACACACAGATGCCATTTTTCTCCTTTTATGTATCATGTTGTTGTTGTTAAGTGCCATCGAGTCAGTTCCGACCCATAGTGACCCTGTATAGGGTTTCCGAGGAGCAGTTGGGTATTATAGGCCTCAGTATATCAACTTTCCACCCATCACACTACCTTGTCCCATGTGTTAAGTGATTTCCTCAATTTAATCTTCCGTGTTATGAATATAATCATCAGCCATATTGCAAAATATGATTGATGCCAAGCCATCCTTCCCACAGCAGTATCTGCTTCTCTGTTGGGTTCAATAATCCACTGCAGTGACCACAGAACTCAGACACCGTGCTCACAGTTCCGGGGTTTTATTAGGGAGGTGAACAGGTTACAATGCAGGGTCAGAAATACTCAGAGCACGGTTGTTCCTCATTGGTGTCCGTAGGCAGCCCTCACTCTGAACAGCAGATGTTACAGAGCTCTTTGAGTGCTGCTGATAAATGCCCACAGGACACGCCACTCCACCTCGGGCCTCAGCCTGAAGGCGCTGAGCTCTAGCTCTGTGGGTCCACAAAGCTCTCTCTCTCTCACTTAAGTGCCTGGAGGTCCCCCAATTTACAAGCAAGCCTCCTGCCCAAAGTCATTGAGCTTCACTTGCTCCATGGTCTGGGAAGCCCACCATTCCATATTGTGCTCTGGTTCTAGACCCTGCTCTGCTACTCCTGTGTGCTACAGCTTTTGGTCCTGGGATCAAAGAGGTTCAATGTGCGCTGCACTCACACTCTTCTTCTCTGATGGTCATGAGATTCCCTCCCTCCTGCTTCTGAGATGGTTCATTTCATACACATTATATCCATCCTAGAGTTTCAAGTTTCTATCATTACAATGAGCTCTGTTAACATCCTCAGCCGACCCATGTCATCCTATCAGTATCTTCTCCTGCCTTTCCTTATGGCAAAAGCATTGTTTGGTGGGAGTTACAGATGATGACTAGAAGATATGTTAGATAATTCACTATACCACATACACCCAATCTGTCCCTCAGTTCTTCTACCAAAGTCTTCTTTTTTGGCAACCACACTTTTAAGTATTGAGACCCACTGTCGGGGACCTGCCTCGACATAGGGGTTCGGTTCACGAGGAGAAGATACCTGACGGCGGTAAAGATATATCAAGAATACACAGAAGGAGACAAAGAGAGAGACAAAGAGAGAGACAAAGAGACACTCCGAAACCAGAGTGAATGCTGGACTGGCATCAGGCAGATCCTGCATTGCAAACATCTCAGCCACGAAGGCCATAATATCTTGCATAGTGAACATCTTAGCTAAACAGGCAGTATGGTTGCAAGGCTGGACTGTGCCCCCTGCATGCTGTAACGCACGCCTTGCCAGTCATAATGCCCCTGGATTTGTTCTGCACCTTCCTTTTATTTAGGGGAGGTGCTTTACACCAAGCTGGGAGGGGCTTAGGCAAGGTACAGCTGTCATTCTTATTTTTCCAGACATTCAGGTAACTTTACATCGTACTTCGCTGGTTCGAATCCCAGGCCAGCAACTTGGTTTCTCAGGCTCAATTAACATATCTATAGCCCCTGAGCTCAGTTGGGGGAAGGTGAGAGGTAAGGACAAAAGCTTGGGCGGAGTCCCGCTGTTTCTGCTTCCTAAGCCAGGTTTTCAGGAACTTGGCTGAATAGCTAACACTTGGGAGAGATTCAGGGTGGATGGCTTTTTTGTCTGTAGAACAAAGAACTGTGAAGTAGCTAAGATGTTTTTAGTTAATCCTTTGGAGAGAGGCTTGACCTTGCAATTTTTACAGTCTGGGCTGTTAGGAAAATATCACATTTATCTGTGGATTATCAAGGGCTCCATGTATTAAATTAATACATGTAATTGAATATTAAGATGAAAAACAATTTGCTATTGACTGCCAGGTAGCTAGATCTGTTACACTCAGGCCTATAGGGCCTCGAACCTCTGACCAGTCTTACACGGTCTGCAACAACCCACTATCCTTAAACTGACAGAGATGTTAAAGGTTTCAGAAGACCCCTCATAACTTGTGAATGAGTGCTAAACAGTGAATCTGTAAGATTCTGTAGAATCAAGCAGTGGACTGTGAGGTCAGTTTGAACCGCAAGGCTGGAGGCTCAAACCCACCAGTTGCTCCTTGGAAAGCCTATACAGGGTTGCCATGAGTCAGAACTGACTGGACGACACTTAACAACAGCAACATCATTAACCTGAATGGTTAAATTACATGTATAGGTTTGTATCCACTGTCTTCTGCTGTATTGAAAGTATCCTCAAATTTAGTGGCTATTATGATGATTCTGTTTCACATTCTTTTTAAAATGTTTTATTGTGAATTATGTGATAGTTTACATGGGAGAACATTAGTTTTATATTCATCCTGTCATACACCATTTCATTGCCATGGTTACCATCCCCTCCATGCATCATCAACCAACCAAAGGGTATACCTTGCAAGCCTGCCCCACCGGTTGTCAGCACACAGCTCCTCTTCCTCTCTGGGTCTAGAGTCCCCAGCTTCTCCATCTCTCCACATCATCATCTCTGCCTCCATCTCTGGCGTCACTGTTTCTCTGCTGTTTCACATTCTTGTGGGTACATTGGTAGCCCTCTTATTTGCACCAGCTCAACCGGGCTGGGTGGCTGGGGATGGTCATATTACAAATAGACATATATACTGGGTAGGGAGAAATGTCTGACTCTTTTTATGTATTCTTGTCACCGCTTTTCCTTTTGAGGACTTTTGGGTTTACTTGGTGTAGTTTCCCCAGTTTTTGAAATCATTTCATTCCATCTCAGAAGAATATTTACAGTGTTTCGGTTAAATGCGTGGGTATATTCCGCCATCTTGAAAATGGAAGATTCCCAAAACTGAGAACTAGAACCCTCCCTCCCTTCTACACTATGTTGACAAGCCAAATTGGTTCCTAGCAAGTGAGTTACAATTTCTTTTGCTGATTGCCATGTTTCTATTTGGATTCAAACAGAACTTAGAGGTTATATGAGCTGGCAAACTTTCTTTATTGGTGCCTTTGACCTGACACATCCTTTTTGACTCCCCTTTGTGTTCCAAGGAACTTCACCTAAAGCAGTGGATGCATCGGTCAAGAAAGAATCCGAAGATCCTAATTACTATCAATATTATTTTCAAGGTAATATTGGTCCTAATTTTCTTCTCCTATAATTATGTGTGATGGAAATTTCTATTGAGCACCCATCTGAAAAACAGGCAAAAAGTAATAAAGATTTTCAAATATGCTAACTTATCATCTAGCACTTGGAATCTATAACTTTGCAATTATAAAATATATTCTCTTCAGCCTAGACCCACATGCTCTTAGGTGCATGTGATTCTCGATATAGTTCCTCGTGCATCTTTCTTGAATTAACAGTTTTTATTTTATGTGTCCTGGAATAATTTCCCTCTTAACTGTTTCCCAGCCACTATGAAGGTCCAGCCAGTCCCCCATGTTACTGGGAAAATATGAAAAGTTGAAAGAGATGGAGGGATGAGTCAAGAAACTGAAATGCCTGCCTGTCTTTAATAACAGCTGTTACCTCATTGTCATCATACAAGTTCAATGGGGAACAGAAGACACTGAATACAGTCTGTTGTAAGGCGCCGTTGAGTCAATTCCAACTTCTAGCGACCCTTCGCACAACAGAACAAAACATTGCCTGGTCCTGCGCCATCCTCGTGTGTGTAATACAATATACCTGCCAAATACCTACACTCCAAAATGTGCAATTCAATGGCTCAGGCCCCCACCCAAATGCTAAGTGTAGCCCTTTGACCCTTGTATAGCCTGCAGATTCTCTGACACTGTGAATGTGGGCCAAGTGCAGGGAAAACTGGCAATTTATCCAATGTCAGCTGTTCCTAACCAACCTTAACTTTCAACATCTACAGCATTCAGTACCTCCCTAAAGTTTTTGAGTTTTGTTTCTGTGTGTTTTGCTTTGAAATTTTCTTGTGAAATACATCGAGGGGAGCATAGTGGCTCCGTACGGATAAGCACTGGACTGCAAACCACAAAGTTGGTGGTTCGAGCCCACCGACCACTTCATGGGAGAAAGATGAGACTTTCTGCTCCTGCAAAGATGTGCAGCCTTGGAAACCCTAAACAGGGTCACTATGAGTCAGAACTGACTTAACAGCAACAACGAAATGCATCTAAGTTCCCCTGGGTGGTGCAGTCAGCATGGGTTGGTGGTTGGAACCCATCCAGTGACACATGGGGACTCAAACCTGGAGGTCTGTTTCTGAAAGGGCAGAGCCACTGGACCCTGGATGCATGGTGTCTTCACAAGGCAGAATCAATTCCACCACAGCTGCCAACAACAAAAAGAGATATGACATCAAATTGGCCCATCGGATCCATTTCTAAGTTTACATTTCATTTGGCATGAAGTACTTTCAAAGTACTGGGCAACCTTCACTAAGTTGATAAACTTCCAACTTGTATCCCCTGCTCCCAGCAGAAACTCAACTCTCTACCAATCAAATAGTGACTCCCCAGCGCTCCGCACCCTCACACTCCAAGCCCTCAGACAGCTTGAATCTACTCTCAGCCTCTCTGAATTTGACCCTTAACTTTTAGTAAGATTCCCCGCCCCCCCGTAGAATCTAAAGGCAGTGTCCAATGAACACAGCATTTTTGTTGTAAGGGCTCTGCTCTGGGCCAGACCCCCTGAACTCCATCCAGCCTGTTGCTGATCCTTGTGACCAATACCCTCCCCTCTCCTTAGGGATTCCTCTCTGTCCACCCTACATGCCCATATCAAAACTCCTCTCCAGCAATCAGGATCTGCCTATGTGCTGCCCCTGCTCACACACTATCTGTGGCTCCCCAGTTCTTATGGAGGCCCAACTGACTCTCACATGTTTCCCCCTCTTTCAACCTCTCTCCTCTCCGTCCAGATCCCCCACACCCTCACCCCTCACTCACCAGTCTGTGACTGACTGCCTAACAACACCAATATACGTTGTTCAGTGGTGTTGGTTACATTTCCCACATGATTTCCATTCTGGTTCTGTTTTCATTATTTTTGCTTCCCTACCCCCTTGTCCCCCACCTTCTCTTTTTCGTTGTTGTTGTTGTGAAGTGCCATCAAGTCAATTCCGATCCATAGTGACTCTGTATAGGGTTTCTGAGGAGTGGCTGGTGAGCTTGAACCTCCGACCTTGCAGTTCGAACAGCTTTGCAGTGTGGCGCATCAACCGTCAGCGCCACACACTGTAAGGTAAATGTTGACTGTTGGTTCTCATAGAGATGATTGTTTTTTTAGTGTTGTGATTTTTCATTAAAAGGAGCGCAGTACTCATGGATGGTAATGTTTACTTTACCAATCGGCTGTTGGACTGAAAGCTGACTGGGTTACAGGAGTAGTTTCGGTTCAGAGGTTAAAGGGTATCTTAGGGCAGTAGTCTCGGCTGTCTCTGCCAGTCCAGGTAGGTCTGGCCTTGTTTTCTTTTCCTTTTTTGAGTTTTGTTCTACAATTTTCTCCCATTCCGTCTGGAACCATGAGAACGGTCAGTGTGGTAGCTGGTCACCATCTAGTTCTGGACTCTGGAGAGGTGAGGAGGTGGTTCATGTAGACAGTTGGTCCTATAGACTAGTTTCTTCTAGAAGTCATTGGTTTCCTTCTTTCTCTTTTGTTCCAGACAAGTGGAGGCCAATAGTTCTATCTTAGATGGTCTTCCTCGATGTCTTAAGACCCCAGATGCTAATTCTGAACTAAGATGTAGAAGAAAATCTTTATATACTATGTTGTGCCAGTGTCTTACCGGACTGTGGTGTTAAGCCTTCAAACTGAGTAGACCAATCATGTAGAGGGTTTGGTTATGTTTGGAGGCATGTGCCCCTGTGTGCTGTATTATATGAACATGTGAGCAGCACACTCAGCCATGTATACAGTTATACCTACAGGTACACCAGTATTTGCTCACCTATATACACTCATAACCTTCCTATAAGGAGCTCTGGTAGCATAGTGGTTACGAATCAGGCTGCTAACCTCAAGGTCAGCAGTTTGAAACTACCAGCCATTACGCAGGAGAAAGATGAGGCTTTCTGCTCCCATCAAGATTTACAACCTCGGAAACCCTGTACAGGGACACTATGAGTCGGAACTGACTCCACGGTACTTAACAACAACAACACGAACCTTCCTATACGTGCAGACATATCTATCTACGTCACCACTCAAGTATGTTTTGATTTGTAATCACTGTTGTTGCAAGTTATATGTGCTACAGCACTTACCAATGATGCTCTTATTCTTGTGAATTTCTAGTGTCATCATTGACCTTGGGTGGGTTGTGCTCACTTCGCTGACATTTGTTGTTTCCTTTCACATCACCAAAACTGACAAGGGGCCACTGTCCAGAGAGTGATTCCTCCCCTCCATCCCTGCCTGGTAGCATAGTGGTTACGAATCGGGCTGCAAACCTTAAGGTCAGCAGTTCGAAACTACCAGCTGTTCCGCGGGAAAAAGATGAGGCTTTCTACTCCCATAAAGATTTACAGCCTCAGAAACCCTGTACAGGGTCGCTATGGGTCGGAACCGACTTGACAGTACTTAACAACAACAACCTGCCTGGTAACGACCCAAGAATGTTGATTTCTGTGTGTATACCCATTTGTGTGTGTGTGTTTATAAAAGTAGGGCCATACAATATTTGTCCTTTTGGGCTTGACTGGTTTCAGCCAGTGTCATTTAGTCATGTTCTAAGATGTTTCGTGGACTCATCATTCTTTATTGCTGCATAATATTCCATTATATGTAGGTACAACAATTTGTGTATCCATTCATCCATTGATGGACACTTTAGTTGTTTCCATCTTTTTGCTGTTGTGAATGAGCATGGGTGTGCATATGTCTATTCATGATACTGTTATTAAGTCTCTAATACACCCAGGAGAAGGGTCCTGGTGTGGCGCTGTGGGTTAATGTGCTGGACTGCAAAGTCAGTTTGAACCACAAAGACGGCGATTCAAGTTCACCTGTGGCTCATCAGAAACCCTATACAGGATTGCTATGGATTGGAACCAACTCAACAGCACTTAACAACAACAACAGCGTAACTAGGAATGGGATTACTGGGTGGTAAGGTATTTACCCCACCTGAATTTAGAGACCATCTCAAGAACAGATTTCATACATTAAATGCTATTGACCGAAGACCAGAAGAGTTGTGGGATGACATCAAGAATATCATACAGGAAGAAAACAAAAGGTCATTAAAAAGACAAAAAAGAGAAAAGAAAAAAATGGACATCAGAAGAGACTCTGAAACTTGCTCTTGAGCATCTAGAAGCTAAAGCTAATGGAATAAATGAGGAAGCAAAACAGCTGAACAGAAAATTTCAAAGGTCAGCTCAAGAAGACAAAGTCAAGTATAATACCGAAATGGGCAAAGACTCAGAGTTAGAAAACCCAAAGGGAAGAACACGCACAGCATTTCTCAAGCTGAAAAAAACTGAAGAAAAAAATTCAAGCCTCGATTTGCAATACCGAAAGATTCTCTGGGCAAAATATTGAATGATGCAGAAAGCATCAAAAGAAGATGGAAGGAATACCCAGAGTCACTGTACCAAAAAGAAATTATTGATGCTCAACTATTTCAAGATACTGAAGGAAGAAGTCCAAGCTGCTCTGAATCCATTGGGGAAAAACAAGATGCCAGGAATTGACAGAATATAAATCGAAATCTTTCTACAAACTAAGCCAGCCCTGGTTTAGATAGTGCATTCATTCATCTGTACCAACAAATTTGGAAGACAGCCATCTGGTCAACTGATTGGAAGACATCTATATTTGTGCCCATTCCAGAGAGAGGTGAAACAGTGGATTGCAGAAATCTTCTAACAATACCATTATTATCACATGCAAGTAAAATTTTCTGAAAATAACTTTTAAAAATGGTTGCAATCGTACACTACCAGAGATTTGCAAGAAATTCAACCCAGATTCAGAAGAGGACATGGATCTAGGGATATCATTTATGATATTAGATGGATCTTCACTGAAAGCAGAGAATACCAGAGTTTACTTGTGTTTTATTGACTATGGAAAGGCTTTCGACTGTGTAGATCATGACAAATTATGGATAACATTGTGGAGAATGGGTATTCTAGAACACTTAGTTGTGCTCATGAGGAACCTGTATATAGACTAAGAGGCACTCATTCAAACAGAACAAGGGAACACTGAGTGGTTAAGAATCAGAGTTGTATCATTTCACCGTATTTACTCAATCTGTATGCTGAGCAAATAGTTGGAGAAACTGGATTATATGAAGGAGAACGTGTTATCAGGATTGGAGGAAGACTCATTAACAACCTTGCTTACTGAAAGTGAGGAGGACTTAAATACTTAATGATGAAGATCAAAGACTACAGCCTTCAGTGTGGATTGCACCTCAATATAAAGAAAACAAAATTCCTCACAACTGGATCAATAGTTAACATCATGATAAATGGAGAAAAGTTTGAAGTTGTCAAAAATGAATTTTGCCTGGATCCACAATCAACATTCATGGAAGCAGCAGTCAAGAAGTCCACCTGACGGCAGTTTGAAACTACCAGCCGTTCCGCGGGAGAAAGATGAGGCTTTCTGCTCCCTGGGAAACCCTGTACAGGGTTTGAAATGACTCCACAGCACACAACAACAACAACAACATATGCATGTGAAAGTTGGTCAGTGAATAAGGAAGACCATAGAAAAATCAATGCATTTGAATTATGGTGAGTTTGAACCACTGAGCTTGCTGTTCAAACCAACTTTGTAGTCCAGTGCTTATCCTGTGGTGCCATTCCAGGACTTCTATTGGGGAACAGTCACTAAGTATTTAGGGATAACAGGCCATGAGGGATGTA